TACTGCCTCAACTTTGATTAGCATATTATTAATGAGACACAAACCATGAAATGCTTTCACCTTTGATCCTGCATTTTTGAACTCAATGATGCAACTATATGGTGATGGTCTAATGAAATTAGAGATTTCACCACATTTAGAATAAAAATAACTTGTTACTGTCATATTACTGAAGAGTTGTATGTTTTTGCAGAAAATAGACCTTTCTTCCTCAATAATCAGATTTCTATTCATTTGGGGTTGTAACATGCCTTGATTTTGTTGAGAAGTGCCTTCTTTTTTCAGCGGTGTATTAACCATTTTAGGCTTTGACACTGAAATATGTATGCCTTTAATTTCATGTTTTTCACATATCAGAGCCTCTGTTGCAGAATCTGCATTTTTAAAATGAACAATACATGTAGGTCCACGTTCTAATGAAAACTTATCAATGGATAAAAGGACAACTTCAACTAATCCAAATTTTTCAAAATATTTCTTTATATCATCTTTTTCCAAATCAGTAGATACATTATAACACTTTATAATCGAATCTTCTTTTTTGGTTGACAAATATTCTACCGTTATTGGTATTGGGGAGTCCTTAATATAATGTGGCGATCTTTCAATAACGTTATCAACTGTACAAGGGTCACGAAACGTTATAAATGCAAAATTGTGTAATTTATCCGTGTTACTATCATACCTAAAATCATCTATGTACCCAAATGTTGAAAAATGTGATAATATATCTTCTAATTCAAAGGCATGGGTACCAAATATGTAAACTTGCAAATGTGGATACCTTGGTATGAATCTCTTGTGCATATTTAGTGTAATTTTAAATAGCACTCTATCTATGAACTAATAAAAACTGATAAATTATAAAATAAAGGATTATCTAGAGATATCTAAGGTTTCAGGAAGGTGGTAAAACCGCAATTTAATATAACTTTAAAACCAGATCGCCATTTAACCAGAAGCCAAAAATTATGGTCAAGGTTCAAATATAAAACACAGACAAAATCAATGACGCCTTTTTAAAAACGGGTTCCTAAACCAAATATATTCTGACTTTATATTTTAACAAATTTAGAATTTTGCTCTAAAACATGGAAGTTTTTCCAAAATTAAAAGAGAATTTTATAACCTAAAAATAAACATATAATTGATAGTTATTTGACCTTATTCAAAGAAAGGCTTGATTTAAAAAAAAATAGTTCACTCTCAACTAAGCAAAAATAGTTATATATTTCCGAGCGCTTTTCCTTTAAATTTGATTTTTAAAATGTTTAATATTTTTATACATAAATTTTATTCTGAAAAAAAAAAGATATTTAAGGACCAAGCATATCCATGCCGTTTTGAGTGGAGAGTAGATCTATACAGACTTCAAAAACAAGATTTTAAAATATATACAATTTTGAGCAAATTTTTCTAACACCTGCGAAATAAGCAAAGCGGATGCGCGTCTAGTTTGAATATATACTAATAGTAGTCCCAAGTCTCAAACAAAACACTTCTACCTGAAGGATGCCACTGGACAAATAGGAACTCCTGGTCCTAAGGGTCCTAATACGCTACTGTTGGAAGAGACACCTTTCAACAAGAGATAACGCAAACGGTATTTGTGAAGGCGAGGGAACAATGACCCAATAGACCTATCAAATTGGTACGAAATTGGTACGAAAGCTTTAAATACAGAAGCCAAACTGAAAACTGAAGATCCCTGGTCACGATATAAAGGACGAGAAATGCGACTACCTTGTGAACAACAACCATCACAAATATGGGTTGCACGAGACCAAGAGTCGTCAACCAATATTGCTTTGCCAAGAAGGTGGTGATATAGGTGGATCTTCAAGGATTTCCTCCATTTCGAGCAGACGCCAATCTGTACTGTAAGCAGCTGGAACCAGTCTACACCATGTTTACAGAGAAATATCCAGCACTTATTGTCCATAAACGCGTAGTGCTTCAGGCAGATAATGCTAGGCCACATAAAGCAAAGAAGACGCGGGATAAGCTTGCAGCGCTTGATGATGTTGGAGTACTGCCACACCCTGTGTACAGCCCTGATGCAGCGCCCCGCTCCGTTAGATGGAACATGCATTTCGCTGACGTCGTTCTGACACTATAGACAGGTTGGAGCTGCCTGTCGTGACTTCTTAGCCTCTAAGCCTGAGTCATGGTGCCTTGGATAAATCGGGTTGCTTGCAGTTAGGTGGCAAACCATCTTGGATAATGATGGCCTGTATTTTGAAGAATGATTTTCATTAGCCTTAATAAATAGTTTCAATTAAATCTTATTTGTCTTCTTCTGTTGTATTTTTATTTGGCTTTTCCGGGGCTAAAGAACTTTTTGCTCTACTAGTACATTGTGCATTTATCTATCTATATATCTATCTATATATATAAATTAATGTATGTGTGTGTGTGTGTCTGTCCTTTATGCCTGACCAAACCACTCATTGGAACGCCATGAAACTTGGGGAAGTTATTTAGTATAGTACTGGGAAGGTTTCTGAAAAATAATTTCTTGAATATCTTGAATATCCTTAGAGTTATTTGCAGATTTGTAGATTAAACTCGCAAGCAGCGCCACCATTGCGACGATAATAATAAGTTTTTATCTATAATTTTTATTATCACTAAGTTTATTATCTTAAAGATTATTCATCAAAAGTAAAATTATCTCAGGATGACACGGCAATTTATTTGAGACAAGAATAATGAAACAATTCCAAGGCAAAGATACTATTCCTTTAACTTTCAATTACCGAGGGAACTAATTAATATTGATTTTATTCAATTTATCGAGTATTTTTCAAGGGACCAGAAAAAAATGTTCACTAGATAAAACGATGATTTTGTAATGTAGAAAATTAGGAGAGAAAAAATTCAGGATGACACGGCAATTTATTTGAGACAAGAATAATGATACGATTCCAAAGCAAAGATACTATTCCTTTAACTTCCAATTACCGAGGGAACCAATTAATATTGATTTTATTCAACTTATCGAGTATTTTTCAAGGGAGGGGGAAAAATGTTCACTTTATCGAGAGATTCAAATTTACGAGTTTCAAATTATCAAAATATATCTATTAATTTTTTTATAAGTTTATAGAGAATTGTTTTAACAAATGTTCGTTAGACAAACCTTTATTCAGGTAAAACCCGGGCGAAGCCGGGTACATCCGCTAGTTTACTTTATATTTTTGCAATTATCCCCTTAAAACATTGAGAAAATAGTGGGTATTAAAATAATAAATTTCTACTCAAGACAAAAAAAAATATCTCTTGAAAGTTCTATAGGACACCCTCATGAATTTTGTACAATAGTATGCTACATTTCACCTAAAGTCCGACCTAAATTAATTTATGTCCCACCCTTCCTTCCTCAAAGCTGCAAAGCTCTGGTGACCTGGATAGATGTAGCCTGAAGCTTTCAGCCTTGACAACACCAGCTAGCGTTTAATATTGACTCATACACTTCTTCCTTGTGGTCAAGTCACCTCATCTATGGTGGCTGACTTGAGCTCACCAGCACCATGCTAGAATTCAGCATGACTCTGCCTGAATGCCCTATTCCTATTGGCAAGCCACAGACCCATGGTGGCTGATAACGTCACCATATTCAGGTGGAACACTAAGTTCCACAACTTTCCCTAAACCTTTCCCAAGATCCCCAGGTCTCATCAGGTTCATTATTTTTATAAAAGTACTAGACGGGTGACCCGGGCTTCGCCCCGGGATTGACTCGTGTGCATATTTACCCGAGTGATATATATTTAGATAAGATTTTTTATAATTGTTTGTTATTAGCATTATCTATTTGTTTGCATCAGCATAATTTAATCTAATCTTTGATAGAGTGCGCTGTTCATGAGCTAAGTAGAATAATTTGAATATATAGTTTTAATAATTGATTTATATATTTTTTAAAATAGCCTATCGTCTTCCCCGTATTTTTTTTTTTACCTATGTATGGAAATTTTGGTTTGAATTAATGAACTACTGCGAATTTGTATACCAGACATACAAACAAACAAACATACAAACATTGATTTATATATATATAGATACTAGCCGAATGACCCGGGCAACGCCCCGGTTTTACCCGATTAAATGCTTTTATTCAAATACTATTCGTTACAATTATAAATTGGCGCCGTGGAAGTCATTCTTGTATAATATATAAATGAGTTTTAAAAATTGTAAAAAAAAAAAAAAATTGCATCGGCCGGGAATCGAACCCGGGCCGCCCGCGTAGCAGGCGAGCATTCTACCACTGAACCACCGATGGTTATGAGAAATGGCCATTTTTGGGTATTTATTCCATTCACAAAAGCAAACGGTGACAGAATTGATTAAGAAAGGGCAATGCCTGGGTTTTACCTGATTAAATGCTCTTATTTAAATACTATTCGTTACAAATATAAATTGGCGCCGTGGATGTCATTCTTGTGAAACGTCCCGCTCCAAACTTTGTGCCTGAGAAGCAATATTTTTATAAAGAGATGATTTGGCTTTGTGTCTTCTGCTCGAATGAATGTTTTTCTGTTAGAATTTTGTTCCTGCATACTAAAAATGAACTGGCTTCACCCGTGGTCTCTACTTTTTGGAATTTTTCCGGATATAATTTTGTATCTGATAATCAAATATGATACAGCAATATTGTCATCATCATTTTCTGAATAAAAAACAACTACTTTTTTCCCAGAACCTGTCAATTTATTTTTCTTGACTAAAAATCCGAAAAATATATTTTCCAGATTTTTCTCTATGTCCTGTTAAAACACGTTTTACATGTCCATTAGGTCAGCTGATATTACCTCCCATCTTCACCGCTAGAGGCGCTGCTTGCGAGCGAAAGGGAAATTTGCAACGCAATTTGCAAATAACTTGTATACATACTTGTATACTTGTGTACATAGACCATAAATATGTACATAGACAGTAAAAGCACATATATTTTAATAATATAAATGAGTTTTAAAAATTGTAAAAAAAAAAAATGCATCTGCCGGGAATCGAACCCGGGCGCCCGCCACTATAATATGGGGCGGGGGGCGCCCGCGTGGCAGGCGAGCATTCTACCACTGAACCAAAAGCAAACGGTGACAGAATTAAGAAAGAATTGTGCATGACGCTGATAACTGTATATAATAATTGCAATTTTCTCGCATCTAATGTTCATTATTTATTAAATATTTTAAAAATAAAAACATAAAACTTCCAGGGAAAAGTTTCTTTTAAAATATTTTTTATTTAAAAAATACCTCGAGCTTTCGGGCAAGTACGCCCTTCTACGGGAGAAATTGCATTATATGATTAATACGCCAAAAAAATATGATTTAAAATTAAATAAAGTCTATTCACTGTTTACATTTGTTTTAAAGCATGATCAACGCGGGCTTCTATTGCGCGTGCTTCACCTGGGGGTTATGGGCTGGGCTCAGGGAATATAATGTTATAAATTTCTGGAATATCTATTCTTCTGTTAATGCTATTGTGCTTTCTGGATATGATGGATTCTATTACAAGTCTCTGTAGTCTATTGGGGATGTTGGAGTAATGGGTCTTTGGTTCTGATAGGGAGAAGGAATGGCCTGTTTCTCTTATATGTTGGTATACTAAAGATCTACTGTCTTGATGATCGATATTTCGTTTATGTTCTGATACTCTAATATTCAAATGTCTGCCAGTTTCGCCGACATATTTGGTTTTGCATTCGTTGCATTCTATGGAGTATATGGCATTCTTAATATTGGAAGGATAATCAATGGTATTGTTCTTTGTTCTTGCCCGAAAGCTCAAGGTATTTTTTAAATAAAAAATATTTTAAAAGAAACTTTTCCCTGGAAGTTTTATGTTTTTATTTTAATATATTAATTCAAGGGATTATTTTATCGAATTATTAAATATTTTTTAATATCTATTATTTTCCATATTTATTTTTTCTTTTCCCATGTTACCGAAATCACCCCAAAGCTATCATCCCCCTCTCTCTGAAAAACAAAATATTAAAAATATTTTTTTCAAAATTATAATAATTAAACTTTATTCTATATATATATATGTATAAATCCATAGAAGCAATGGGCGCTTCTCCCGTCAAAATAAACGTCATATAATATCATATAATATAACGTCAAAAATATATTATTAATCTGGCTGACTTCCTCAGATTAGTTTTTACTGTAAAATATTCATAGATAAAAAATAAAACTATAAAAATAAGTAATATACAACTTATTGTATAGCACTTATACAACATTAATAATTAGTCATTCGAAATTCAATGGGGTTTCCCCGCCTAGATTCGAATCCTGTCGGTTGTGCCATGTTGTCGTGTTTTCTACCTATAGGTTGCCTCTAATCTCAGACACCATAAAATATAAGTTTTTATTTTGACAAAATCAACTTTCTCCCTTTAGCACCTCCACACACAACACCATATATCTATCCTTTTATATTTACATTCTTTTCTTTCTCTCTCTCTCTCTCTCTCTCATGCAATATAACGTGTGATCAATAATTTCCAGGAATGAGACTGGATCACGGAAAATATTCAAAATGATGAAATAATTTTATAAGGACCTTTTAGATAAAACATTTATCAACACGTATAAAAAATTGATCACACAGACGTACACGCTCACGTTTTTTCGAATTTATAAGCTCGAGTATATCAGAACATTTTCTAACTTCAGAATGGGCTGTATTGAAAAACAGAGAGTCTGCATAGAGTTTGCTTTAAATTAGGAAAAACAGCTTCCGAATCATTTCAAATGTTGAAGCAGGCTTTTAAAAAAGATGCCCTATCACATTTGAGGATATTTGAATGATTTGCACGATTTAAAGCTGGTCGAACAAGCCTCAAGAATGATCTACACACTGGCAGACCTTTATCGATAAGAAACCCCGAAAATGCAGTCAAAATAAAGTCATCTATCAAAGAAAATCCAAGAATAACTATCAGAGAGCTTTCAGAAGACTTGTATATCTCTTTTGGAACATGCCAAATCATCATTAAGAATGTTCTGCATCTTAAACGATCCCGGCTAAATTTGTCCCACATCTCTTGACGAATGAGCAGAAATAGCATCGCAAAGAAACGTGCAAAAACATGGTCGAAATGTTTAATTCTGATCCCCATTGGCTCAAAAATGTTATCACGGGAGATGAAACATGGGTGTACGGATATGATCCCGAGACTAAGAGGCAATCAAGCCAGTGGATAGAGCCTGGAGAACCAAGATCCAAGAAAGCAAGGATGATCAAATCGAAGCTTGAGTGTCTTTTTATCACTTTCTTTGATTAAAGGGATTGGTACGCTATGAATTCGTGCCCGAGGGTCGGACCATTAATCAACATTACTATCTTGATGTATTGCGACGTTTAAGGGAGGCTGTGCGTCAGAAACGACCTGAAAAATGGCATCAGAAAAGTTGGCTCTTGCATCATGACAAGGCACGGCCACATACATCGACAAGGCACGGCCACATACGTCACTGTACAACACTATTTGGCTAAACACGGAATTGCTTTACTACCCCAGCCACCCTATTCTCCTGACTTGCTCCCAACGACTTTTTCCTTTACCCTAAAATTAAAAAGTTTTAAAAGGACGTCGATTTGACTCAATAACTGAAATAAAGGAGAATACGAAGAATATTTTGAAAAGCCTGAAAGATGAGGATTTTCAGAGGTGTTTTGATATCTGGAAAAAAATATGGAACAAGTGTGTAGATAGTAATGGTGAATATTTTGAGAAATTTTAAATAAAACTTTATTATACTTTTGTATTTCTTTAAATATTTAGCATTCCTGGAAATTATTGATCACACTATGTACGAATATAAATATTCTAAAATAAATATTTCAAAATTATATAAAATTTGAAATTATTCAAAAATCATATATATATATATATTTACTAGCGGATGTGTACCCGGCTTCGCCCGGGTTTTATCCGACTGAAAGTTTGCCTAACGAATATTATATATTATGAAGTATAATAAACAATGTTAAAGATTAGTTTTAATTATTAATCAAGATTGTGTGTGAATATGTGAGAAAGATGTAATATCGTTGTTGTTTTCTTGGCCGACTGTTTTACATATGGTGTTATCTTAAAATTGCTTGTTTTTAATATTTTTTTAGATTGAGTTGAATGAATTGCTGAATTTTTTTTTTGTATTTATATATAAATAAAATTAACTCTGTTGAATTTTTTGTATTTTATCGATAACAGCAAAGTTATGTATTTTAAAGTTAGGAAAAATATTTTGATGTTAAGCAAAACCTGCTCCATCTCGTTTTACATAAATGTTGAAAATTTGGTCGAAATTGATGCATTGTAACGAAAGTTTTTAGCGAACACCACTTATGAAATTTGCATTTTATTAATATAGATATAATATAAATGAGTTTTAAAAATTGTTTAAAAAAAAATGCATCGGCCGGGAATCGAACCCTGGCCGCCCGCGTGGCAGGCGAGCATTCTACCACTGAACCACCGATGCTTTAAAAAAAATCAAATTCATTTATCGTCGCGACCAGTGCTGCGCCCTAGCGGTAAAAGACTGGAACTAACGCTTTTTGGTTTTTTATTTAAAAAAAAAAGCACATTAACTTTTTTAGTTTTTTGAATAGCCTATATGTTAAACGAAATCTTCAGCTACCTACATGCGAAATTCCATAATGATTGAGTCAGTAGATTTTGCGTGATGCGATAACAAACATCGATTTCGCATTTCATTTTTATATATATAAGAAGGAAGGATAATTAACTAATATAAATAATTATAAAGATGGACAACACGTGAGGTAAGATAAGTTTCTTTTAATTGAGCGAAATGCAAGCTTTCGGGACGAACGCCCTTCTACAGGCAATTATGAATACGCGCAAAGATACAAATGGTAGGTAGGAGCGAATATTGATATATGCTAGTGTTTAACATATTTACAAGAATTTTGCTGTAAAATTAGTATAGTAAGCTAAACCAAAGAATGCAAATATCTAACTATTATTTCAATTATTAACTTAATGACGGGAACTATTGTATATTTAATATTTAATGAAAAACTAAGATGTTACAGATGTTTCTGCCAAGAAAACACCTTAGATGTCGGGAATTTCGATCTTTCTATTAATGCTATTGTGTTTGTGTGAGACTATGGATTCCAACACCAATCGTTGGTGTTGGTTGTGGATATGTCTATAGTGGATTACTGGATGGTTAATATCGAATGTGTGTCCTGTAGATGCTATATGTTGGTGGATGAGGGATTTGGGGTCTTTGTTGGTTATATAACGGGAATGCTCTGTCATTCTGATGGCCACAGTTCTACCTGTCTCACCCACATATGTGGCAGAGCACTGCTCACATGAGACAGAGTAGACTGCTCCTGTACTTTGAAGGGGACTGGGAGGAGTGTCTGCTTTGGTTATGGGATGTCTGAGGTGTGTGGATATGTTATTGGTGTTGCTGAAAAAGGTCTGGATGCCATGGGTTTTAAGAAGTCTGGATATGTTGACTGTGCAGGGTGAATAAGGTAAAATACAAGTGGATCTATGAGCTGTTGGGGGTTTGTAAGGGCTGGGTACGTAAGTGTGTCTATTAATAAAGGTAAGGGGGAAAGCTGAGGCAGTAAGATGGGAAATTACTAATTCTTTTTCTATGGTTTTGAATATGGGGAGGGAACAATGGGTATGTATTCGTTTTGTTAAAGTTTTAACTATGTTAATTTTATGGACTAAGGGGCAGTATGAATTGAAGTGGGTATAGTTGGGGGGGGGGGGAGTTTTTCTTGTAATAGGCTGTGGTATGGAAGGAATTTGGAGTACGTATAATCAGTATGTCTAGGAAGGGGATGACATTCTTGTGTTCTTGTTCTAAAGTGAATGAGATATCAGGGTGATAATTGTTGAGGTCTGTTAGGATGGTGCCCTCTTGGCTGATTTTGCAAATGCAAAAAACATCATCTATGTAACGCCGCCACATGGAGATGCTTGATGCATGTATTTGGTTAATCCACGCATCAATTTTTGTCATCACTATTTCTGCTGCTATGGAGGAGAGGGGACTTCCCATAGGGGATCCCTT